ATGAATAGAAATAGAAATTGATAGAAATGAAAATTGACCTCTGGAAGCTCTCAGAATGTTCTTCACACTACTAGAAGATTTACTCTCCCTAACAGTGCCAAAAAAAAAAAAATTCCTATGTGAGAAAGCAGTGTATCCTCAGCTTAAATATTTCTAATGTGTTCTAGAAAATAGTCTGGGAAATTTAAAATGCTGAAAATGTGGCGTTTTAGTCTTAACTAAGTCTCTCTTTACCCATTATCTGTTCTGGTTATCCAGGACTACTCTCTTAAAGTCCTAGAAACCACCACTTACTATACCTGATTTTTGGAATACTAATAGAAATCCTATCAACAGAAGTATTTGAGATGAAAAAAAAGTATACCACAACACAAAAATTAAGATTATTATGGGTCCCTTTCCTCCTTTCAAATAACTGGAAATACTCAAGTTAACTTGTAACCCTTCACTGTGTTTACTCCTACCCAGTAATTTTGGGCAAAAGGTAGTTTATCATACAGAATATGGAAAGTTGACAGCTCCCATTGTCAACCTCAGTGAAGAAAAACATTTCTATTTGCCCCGAGAGGTGCTGAGGAACATAGGCACCTATGACCTACTGTCCAAAGGAAGAGGCAGTCATTGTTGATTTATCACGAGGACACAAGATACATTATTCTCTAACATTTTGTATTACTTTACTAAAATTTATAATTTTGTATGCATATTTGCCATGACTTCAGTTTGGTTCTTTAGAAGCTGTTATAGCTTTAATTTTTGCTAATTAGTGAAACTGAATACTTGATTAATCACATCAGCCTTTGCTAATCTGGCTAGATACTTGTAATTAGAGGCTTTGAAGTTAGAAGAGCGTTCATTCAGTCCGATCTCTGGCTCTCCCCAGAGGAACTACACACACCTACACAACTCCCAGAGTCTTGCCTTCCTTAGCCACAATGGGGATAATAATGCTGACCTAAGAGGCTCTTGTAAGGATGCATGAGGTAGTAGATATAAAGCAAATCGTTCTACAAATGGTAGCTAATTATATGTAAGTATTCTTGTAAACAAGACCTTATTAAGCACATATACTAAGTACTATACCACTGTGCTCTGATTTCTTTATTATTTTTAATGTCTAAGGTTTCAGAAGGCCCTAACTCTGAAGAGGTTATTTCTGATGCTCTAGGAATTACATTGATCTCTTTCTTCTTGAGCGATGAGTGTCAGAAGGCTAGTTCTGGAGTGGGGTTTAAGGATTATCACATGAAGATCCACTCTCCACTCTTGACTCATTCACTGCAGTCAATGCTGCTCCAATTTCCATTAAGTAAAAGGTTTTCTCTAATCCATATACATTGAACTATGGCTTGACTTTGGTGAGCTACAAGGGAGTAATTGCTTCGAGGAGGTTCTGGGAACATCAAAACACAAGAGCTGGACTCAAGTGATTTGTCAGGCAGCTTTTAAAATAGTTGATATAAAAGCAAGAAGAAAGAGATTTTCCTTGATTTTAAGATGAAGCTTTGACTAATTTTTTTTGAACTACAATTCCCAGAATGCCATCTACCTTACAGAAATGAAAGCTACTTGAATTTCATATTGAGAGCCTGAGATCAATTAGTCTCTTTTAGGGACTCTTTTAAGGTTCATAAACGACTCAGATCCAAACAACCAGGCACCCAGAAAAGGTTTCTGAGACTAAAGTGAGACAGAGAAAGGAGCCAATAGCCAACCTCACCCGAATAATGTGGAGGTGTTATTTGGCTTCAACATTTCAGTTCCAGTTGCCTATGTGTAAGAACTGTTCTCCTAATCTTCCATGTATGAGCCACTATATAACCACACAGCTGCTAGGTCTGTCTCCTAATCTGACCCTGGGGTTATAATCTATCATTAAAATCTTCAAGGCAAATCACTCTTTGGAATTATTGAAGGATCTCTGAATCTATCAGATTAAGATCCTAACCATTATGTTGAGCTTTATAAGTATTACTCTTTATTTTGACATAGTTGAGTAACATTTACATTATCCTTGGGTAAAGAACAGGGTTAGCACCAGGTCCCTGAGCACCAGTTTGAAAGGAAAAACTTGACATTGGGGAAATGTGGTCACTTAATGGATTCTGGCTTTGGTTTTTTATTTTTATTTTTTTTTCATCTTAAAAGTACATACAAAAGTCTTTCCTTTCTGGTGCCCCCTTTTCTGTAAATGAAACCACAACCACTTATTACTTCGGAGACCGAGTCTCTTAGATTAGAGCTATGATAAAAACATGGTTTAGGGCACAGAGCCTGAGTTTTCTGTTCCATCACCCACTAGATGTAATAAATGGTATGTTATAAACACTTTAAGCCTCCCTTGCCACTTTTTAAATTCAGATTATTGCAGTGTCTGCATGCCAGGCTGCCATATGGTAAAATGAGATAATGCATGGCGAATGTTTAGCCAGCAATGGGTGCATGGTAAGCATTCTATAAGTGCAGCTAATCTTAGTGGAATGTTAAAGCAATCTTTGGCATCTCCTGTTCCTTTGGAGGTCATATCCAGGATGTCAACAAGTTCTGACAGTTCTTCTACCTATTTCCCATCCCCCATACCTCTGTCTTATCATCTGTTTGTCTGTCTACCTACCTATCAATTTGTATCCACTAATTAAAAAAATCACCTTGGAGGAAATGCATAAAGGTTTGCTAAGTACATTCACCTAAGAGTACTAGAGTACTGACTATTTCTGAGGAGGAAGGCAGAGGAGTGGGTTCGAGAAGGGGAGGCTTTTGCCTTTACAAAAACATATCAGAAACAAGTACAGCAGCAAGGGTTAATATCATATTTGCCTCTGTACTTTTTGGTAGCTTTGAATTTTAAAATTTTAGCTTAGAATAAAAAGATCAACAAAAGCAACTAACATCCTCTCATAGTTCTGTGGTATTAGGTAAGTTACTTGCCTGTTGGCCTCATCTTCTTTGTCCATAAAATGGGAACTTCAGTGCTTGGTGCAAAATTACAATGAAGAATTAACTGAATTACAGACATAAAGTTCTCACTGTAATCATTAGCATCTGGTAGTTTCTTTGTCTCCTATATTGGCCTGTTAATTCAAAATGCATCAGCTTGCAGAGTAATCCTCTTGCACTCTGCTGCCTCTCATGGCTGCTCCAGGAACCTGCATTCTTTTTCCCTGGCATATCCAACCCAGTCCAGGCTGGCCTGGCTGGAGGCTGAAGCTCTTGGGCCCCCAGCACTACAGGTGCCCCTTGGTGACAGCACTTGTCACTTCTACTGTGTGTACACTGAGGTCCTCCAAGAAACCTCGGTGGTTGATTCAACTTGATATTCTCAGTGAAGAAAAGGAGAGCAAGAACAAAGGAAAGGACTGGGTCAACTCCTGGCTCCCACACCAGCCCTGATGTGACTATCGTCCTAGTAGGGCAAGTCATTTGAGTTGTGGATCCTGTGTCCTTCACTGGGCTGAGCTTCACAGTATCCCCCACAATCCTGTTCTTACTCAGAACAGTTCTGTTCAACATGCAGGGCTCTCAGTGGACAGGGCACTTCAATTCTGTTCCTTTTTCCCCAATCAAACCCTGTCTCCAAAACCCTGCCTGCCCAAGTTCTAAACCTTTCTATAAACTTTCCTCAATATATTTACTTCTGATTGAAAAAAGAAATCTTAACACACATATTACTTATAAAGCTAGTCACTGTTGAAAGCAATTTATGCCTGCTAATTTAGCCTCACAATAACTCTGAGGTAACTGCTACCATTATCCCATTTTTACTGATGTGGAAATAGAGGAACAGAGGAATCAAATGACCTTCACCAAGGTCATTCAGCTAGTGGCAATATTGGAACTCAGATGATCTGCTTCAGACTCAATGTAATTCCCTCTTATAATAAGCCTTGCATTTTCTTAAGTTTTATGATACTCATACTTAACATAAAAATATCCTTTAAAAGTATATAATTTTGTGAGGTTTAATATAGTCATAGCATTTTATAATTATCACCTAACAAATTCAGAACATTTTCATCACCCCCAAAGGAAAACCATTAGTAGTCAGTCTCCCTACTTCCAACTGCTGGCACCAATAATCTGTACTTTCTCTCTGTGGAACTAGTAGTTCTGGACTTTTCATAGAAATGGCATCATGGGACATGTGGTCTTTTGCTGCTGGCTTCTTTTAGTTAGCATCATGTTTTCAAGCTTCATCCATGTGGAAGCATGTTTTGGTTCTTCATTCCCTTTTTGACAAGTATTATTACATTGTATGGCTATATCACATTTTGCCTTCCATTCATCTGTTGATGAACATTTAGGTTGTTTCCAATTTTTTTTTATAATACCATGAACATTTGAGTTCAAGTTTTTGTATGTATATATTCAATTTTTTCAGGTCTAAAATCCTTTCTTAATCAATAGCTTTTCATTTCTTCCATAATTATATTCTCATTAAAACTGATTAATTTATATTCTCTTATATTTTCTGGTCAGGAGCATAACGTTAACACCCCATAAATACAAATGAGTGGAAATTAAATCTCCATGTAAATACAGAAGCCCAGGGAGGTAGCTCTGGAAGGATTCTGTTCTCAGAATATACTTTACATACACTCATAGCAATTTTGTGAGATACTCAAATTAGGTCACCTGACAGGTGAGAAAAAGTGAGCTGTAAGACTTTCATGACCTACTGCAAATCATACACTAAACAGCAGTGCCTGGACCAAATCAAGACCACTTACTCCAAGTTGTAGGGCTCAGATTTCTCCAAGGTCAGGTCAGAATAGTAAAATTATCTTGGGATATGGAGAGGAAATAAGGGTAAAACATGCAAACATTCTTATTAATACCCATTGTTGTCTTTTGTATTTTTTAAAATAAAACAAATGAATGAGGCAAAAAGCTTGGCTCCAAGCTGGCGCCTCACGAGATGCTCGGTATGAGAATCACTTGGGACCATACCAGTCAAGACATTCTAGAACTCAACTACCATCTTGCACAAACCAAGTCCTCACCTGATATTTGCGCCCTTGTCCTGGATGTGGGGATTGTCCTTGCTGGCCCTCTGCGCAGCTTTTCTGCTTGCCTCCTCTTCTGTCTCACTCAGACTTTCCTGGACAAGGCTCTCCTCCTCTAAGCTGTCAGCTTCCATGTCCTTGTTCTGAATCCGACCTTCCAGTCTGGACCGGGGTTTCATCCCTTGAGTGACACTTTCTGAATCAGATTCCAAGGAGTCTTTTGAAATCACTTGCAAGTCTTCTTTATTAGAAGGTGGTTCTGTCGACTTGACCTTTAAGTTGCTATGATGGACAGGAGATTGAATAGAGAACTTGGGGACTAATTTACTATGACTCATCTTGAAAAAACATAAAAGTTAGCTGTCGTCTTCCTGTTGACAGGAGCAGTTGGCTGAATATTTACAGTCGTGGCTCATGAAAGCATTACCTAAGAAAATTACATCTATGTTATATTGGGATTACAGAAATAGTTTTGACGTCAATGTTAATCAAAGTTTTAAATGCATAAGAAAACCTTGTTATATTTTCTGAAGGCTTTTGTGTGTGCCCTTTTTGTGTGTGTGTGAGAGACGCAAGTCTACTGGAAAAACAACTGTGTTTTTCTCGCTTCAGAAACACAGCGGATGTAGAGCTCATAACCTGCCTGAGTAATCAAATGCAGCATTATTGAGGCAATCAAATGCCTGCTTGGAAACATTCCTTTTTCTAGCTTCCAAAGGACTGTGACAGACAAGCGTGGACAAAGCCAAATGGTTAATTATGGACAGCAATTATTTCAGTGGTCTTATTTCAAACACCCAGGGCACCGATAAAACTATGCCATATTCAGCAGTACTCATGAAGAGAGTGGCAGGGTCAGGGTTTAGCTCTGGAAAGGAAAAGATGGGGTGGACGGGGAAGTACAGTCTCCATAGTTGGAACTGTAGAGAGGGAAGCTGTTTCATTCCTAGGTCTGGCTTCATCATTTGGAAGACTTCTCAATACCTGGGTTGCTAGAGAGAAATGTACAATTTAGGTGGACATTACATGGAGATGGAGCTCTGCTCAGTATTGAAAAAATAACAAATCATAATGGTTAAGACTGTTCAACAAAAGCTTTGGTGGCTTTGTGAATCCTGTCACTGAGTGCTTCATAGCAGAGGCTGGATGTCCATCTACCTGAAAGGGATGGTGTCCTGGGAAATGTTGGGGGTGGTGAGAGACATGCCAGAATAATAGCTAGGGTTCCTTCTAACTCACTTCAGAGTGATTCCAAGTGAGCTGTCTCCGACTCAAAGAGCTGTGATAAAGACCCATGAGATGGTTTATGGAAAGGGGGCTTTGAGTTCATATAGGATTGAAAGGAGATGATGTTATTGGATTGTGTTTCCTTTCATCTCTACCTAGTGTTTCTATTTTGTTCTGTCTTTATCTCACTGCCTTTATGCCACTTTTTTCTGTGGGTCAGATAAGAGAAACCTTTACCTTCAGAGATTACTGTAAGATTTGTCTTAATGGGTTGCTCTTGTTCTTTTGACAAATCCTAACTTTAATTGAGTAACACTACCTTATTCTTTCTCCTAATAATGTTGACCTTGTTGTTTCCAAGGAACATCATCAACTCCTTGGAGGAAAGCACCTTAACAAACAAGACAGACAAAAGGTAGCATTCATACTTAAATACACATGCAGTGGATTTCTTTTTTTTTGTTTTTTTTTTTATTTCCTTTTAATTTCCCCCCCTGTTGGTAGACTGAGGACATAAATATATACATATAGAAATATATACACAATTCTCTAACCATACAGAGGCTAGCTTGCTATTTGAAACTAATTACTACATTCTACTGTATTATTTTATAGTATTATTTCCTGTATTATTGATAAATTAGCTGCAGCTTTTGAGGGGGGTTTTGGAAAGCAGTACAGCTATCAGTTCATACTTGAACTGAAACCTTCTGGAAATATTTGTTATTATTGTAAGAGTTCAAGTCACTGTGTTAAGAAAAATAACCTTAATCATTTCAATTTGGAACTGCTCTTTCATGAAATAATTAGATTCCTTCTATTTATCTTCTTTTCTTGAATGAACTACATTAGGGTTTTTTGGAGTTAACAACAGCCACAAAGCCAGTGCTGATAGAGTAAGCTAATAATTGTTAACAGAGAAATGATGTTTGGGGAGAGTATGAAGAAAACAAAGCCAAATACCATGAAGACTGGGCCTTCTGGCGAGGCCTGATCTCATAAAAGCATAAAGAAGAAAAAAGCTGATAGTTTGGTTAAATGAGAAAGTGGGGGTTGGAGTATGGCTCCCTCGTGGGACAAGTTTTTCACGAAATTTCTGACAGACCTGAGTATACGTGACAGACTGACCTCTACCCAGAGTACCTTATCTAGGCAACTATCACATGGCCAATTCTCTGGGGTCTCCTTACTGCCTAGGGTCTGGTTCCCTAGTGCTGGGAGAAGCTGGTTTCTTTCCTTTCCGTGGAAAGGAGCCCCGCTACTGCTAATCCCTCACTGAGGTGAAAGGTAGAGAAAAAGTTGCCCTTTGAAACAGGCCGTCCTAAGGGACCTTCGGCTTGTTTTCTCCCTTTCCCTTTTATCCGTGATGGACAAATTCAGCAGTTGAGCCCTTTAAAGTGCCGGACGTGAGGTGTCCCGTGTGCCCGGTCCCCTGGACCAGTACTGATAAACCAGAGCTGCTCTGGAAGTCCAGTGCCAAAGGCTTTCCTGAACTTGGTCACCCAGTCCGTGCCCCTTCGGCTGCCCCTCCAGCCCCACCCCAAATGCTGACAGGGTAGGCCCTTGAGCTCTTTCCAGTCCTGATTTGGTTTCCCATGGAGCTTTGCTGCTCAGTCCCCTGACCCTGTCCTCAAACCCTTCCCGTTTCCCTCCCTGGACACGTCCCCCACCCCGTTCCAGAAGCAACCGCCTGTCACCTGCCGGGTGCTCCTCGGGCCTGCGACCCCCACAGCCCCGCATCCTCCCTCGCAGCTGCCAGGGCTCCAGCCGGGCCACCTCCCAGGCCCCGCCCGCCGCTGCCCTGGAGACGCAGCCAACAGAGTCCGCACGCTCTGGGAGGGCGGAGCTGGTCAAGGCTACCGCGGCGGGTGACACCACCTGCTGGAGCGGAGGGCGGAGGGTTGTGATGGTGGCTTGGGGCAGAGACCCCGGGATCCCCAGGCAGCTCGGCGGTTGCTTTCAGGCCACGCAGACTTTCCAAAGTTGGAAAGCTAAAAAAGGCAGACCTCTAAGTGGGTGGAGATGTTTGCAACCGATACTGCTAGGATACGAGAGAACTACTAGGGAAGGCCAAGAATTCAATGAAAGGATACATTGAAGAGGAAATCTCACAGCAGAAATCCAAATTGCCAATAAATACTAGTTGTTGATTAAAAATGCCCAATTAATTACAAATCAGAAGAACGCACATTAAAACCTCATTCTCTATCCCTCCACCCTCACCAGAGGAGCAAACATGAAAATACCTAGGCATACTGGGTGTTGGGAAGGATGGAGAGTGAATAACCTCATTCACTGCAGATGAGTGTGAGAGACACAAGCCCTTTGGAAAATGGTTTGTGTTCACCGGGACAGGTAGACCTGTGATCCAGCAATTCCACTTTGAAGTGTTCACCCTGAAACAGTGGGCACTTATTTGTACCCAAACTGAAATACCTGCCGTGTGCAATCATAATAGAGGGGTTAATTAAACGGTGGTATTCTGTATAATTATATTGTACTGTGACTACTGAAACAGCTTTGATATAATAGTGAAAATGAATGAAATCCTGCGGCATACTTGCGTCTTCAAAAATACAGTATTGGTGGACAAAACCCCAGAAAAATGTACATTACATGTTTTGTATGTTGTTATTAAAAACAGACAAAATTAAGCTGATTGTGTTTGTGGGGTGGGGAGAAGCAAAATAGTAATTCCCATAGAGTGAGAATCCTGCTCAGCTCTGGCAGGCAAGATGGAGGTTCCGGGAGAGTGCTTTTGAGACTGTATTTTCTGACTTCTAGTGCTGGTTACATAGATACTTAGTTTTTAATAATTCATTAAGCAATATTCATGTAGCATGTGTAGACTATTTTGCTATAATAAAGGCTCCAAAAGAAAGGCAGTGCTGGGAATTACATTCACATTAAAATAGCACTAAGACCCCAAGTGGACTTGCCTGACTATCTTGAGCAAGGCAAGGATGCTTCAGTATTGTGCCTCACAATGACTAGAAGCACAGAGAACTGGAAAATGTCTTTACTGTTCATTTTACCATTTTCTGCTTTTTATTAGTTACATTTTTTAAAAGATTTATTTATTTATACATACAGAATTGGGGTGCAGGGGCTGAGAGGCTTCATCAGAGACAGAGTGGGGAGCAGAACAGGCAGATGTTCTGAAATTCACTGCTGAGGGGAGCAGTGGGTGGGTAAGGAGAGGTCTGCAACACCATGTGGGTCACCTCCCTGGCAGGGGATCAAACTTGTTCTGTAGTAGCTGGGGTAACTTCATATGTGCTTTAACCTGTTGTCCCACCAGGGAGGCCACAGAGTTATATTTAAGATTTATTTATTCATATAGAACTGGGGTACAGGCCAGAGATGCGGAGGGTGAGGATTCACCAGAGACAGAGAGGGGAGCAGAACAGACAGATCGATGAAATACACTGCTGAGGGGTGCAGCGGGCGGGTCAGGAGAGGTCTGCCTCACCATGTGGATCACCACTGGAGCAGGCGGGAATCGAACTCATGCGTAAGTGGCTTAAGCTTCTTAGTGCGGTGCTTTAACCCGCTGCGCCACCAGGGAGGGCCCAGAGTTATATTTTTTAAAGATTTTTTTTTCTTTTTGACAAGAGACCTTATTTGAGTATATATCAGGAACTCAATATTTCATGAAGAAATGAAAGCAAGGTAGCTGGAGTCATTGGTGTTATTCTGCCCAGCATACCACACAAGTTAAAGTTAGGACAAATGCAAACGTACAGACAGGCCTCACGCAGAAAGATTTATCCCTCATAGAATGGGAATATTCTAGAAGATGTTTAGGACTGGAACTGAGTCATTCACACTTGCTCACCTTCTATCTACTGGTCCATGGAAATGGGTGCTGTGGTATTTCCAGTACTTTCTGCAGATAGAAAAGCATGGTTCCTGGATGATTCAGGATGCTACTTCAACCTATCACTTACTTGCAGAGGCTACTCATGTACAGAACATGAAACACCCTCAGCTTGACTTTCCTCCTTAGGATGGTGGTCCTGTTTATTTGAAGTGACTAGAGACTGGCATAGTAAACATGGATGGCAATCAGAGTCCAGTCAAGAGACAGAAGTCATACCAGTTATTTTAATGGAAATAATTTAATGGGAATATTTATTAAGTAAGCCATTGTGAAGTGAACATAGATATTGTGGACATAGTAACTACAGGAAGCA